CCCCAAAACCCCAAAACCCCTTATTGCATCAATGTAATTATAAGTTAAATAAATGATTAATTTGTTTAAATATAATGAAAGAAATTCTCTTTCGTAATCACTGAGTAGATGTTTGGATGAACATATGCTATTAAATGATTCAAGAGAGTGATTTTCCAGTGGAAACATCGAAGAGCTCTCTGCCTGGGTTTTCCCAGTCAAAGAGAGCCATGTGTCTGTAGTCTTTATCTGCTAGGGCTCTTTTTACTTCTAATGGGAAGTAGTCGTTCATCTTCAACATCATATTTAACAAATGCTGCTCAGTTCTCTTTCTTCCGTAGGCATAGAACATCACTGACCATAGCACTACATTAATCTTTCTCAAGTAGAAACTGCTCTTGCTAGTAAAGTTAGGGTTGATGACCATGCCTCCGAAGCAGAAACCAGCGAAACCATACCCATAGCTGAGATTTGATTTAAGCATGAGTTTTTGCTTGTCTTGTTCATACCCAGGGTAGAATCTGTGGTGTGTTTCGTGCCACTTGATGTAGTCTCTTAGCATAGTGAACAATAGGGTCTTATTGTTTTCATCAGCATGTGCTTGACGGCCGGCATAGGTCTCTCCGAAGATGTCCTCGCCAAAACCTCCATAGAAAAATAGAGAACCTGGGGTTTGTATCATATTATTTTTAATTAATAATTATTGAAATTAATTAGAATATAGTTCATTACATTAGCATTTTTTTAGCTTTCATCATTCACAATTCCCGAAAAATAAATTTATATTGAACTTTAAATTCATCTCTTCCTCTTCTTACTTTAGGCAGAGATCTTATTATTTTTTTGGGTCGCTTAAGACTTCATCATTGCGGGTAGCTTTGCTTATTCAAGTGCTTTTTTATTCTTATTTGGCTATTTTTTGGCAACGGCAGCTGCACTTTTATCCTTCTTAGTTTAAAGTTTCTCATCTCTCTTTTTTGTGGGCTTGTTTTTATCTTTCTTGACAGATCTAACACTTTCATCATCATCTTCTTCTTCATTGCTATCAGAATCTGATTCATCACTTTCTTCCTAGTCTTAATTTGAGTTGCTAGCTTAAGACTAACTTTTGCTGCTCATTTGGCTATAAGTTGGCTTGTTTATTTCACTTATTTTGTCCTTTTACACTGAGATATGCAGTTTTTTCTAGCCAGATTTAGATTTTGCCGTTTTATCATTTTAAGGTTTTGGGGTTTCTATAGATTTCTAGTTATCATCAGCCTAAATCTTGCCTTAGTCTTTCTATTTTGACTATTAAATCTACTGAGTTTGATTGTTAGACTTCTTTTTATCCAAGGATATCAATTGCTACTCGTTATCTTTATTTTTAATCTTAGATTCCTTTAAATTCTCTTCTTTATCTTGTTTTTAATTCTTGGTCACTGATTACTTCTCTTCTATTTTCTCCTTCTAGTTGAGAGGATTATACAGAATGCCTAATTTTTCTGAGACTTTCTCGCAGAACTACTCCATTAATTAAATCTTGCTTTGTAAACTTTCAATCAATCGATCCTTTTCCAACACAAGTTTTAATCTTTCCTGGTTTGCTGATTTAGGAACCTCTTTCAAATCATTCTATTACTTCTCTAGTTTTCCTTTGAGATAGCACCATTTTAAAAATATTGCTCTGGCTGATGCGAATTCTAATTCTGAAATAATGTGATAGTAAGTAATGTATTATTACCTTTAAATGTATCAAATACCTCTTTCTTAATCTGTCCATAAGTGACCTTATCACATTTTTCATCCAGACATGTATCGATTCCAAATTTTTTATCAATGACCAGCCAGTGCTTAAAACACAGTTGATATCAGTAATTTTCACTTATATTCCTAAAAATTATCACAATGATAGTAATTACTGAACGAAATAGGTGATAAACAGATCTAACTCAGAGAGCACTTTCTTTTCAGTGGAACTCATCAAAATTAAGTTTAAAAGTTAGATGCGAATAATTGGTCATAATGCGAAATTTTATAATATTCACTATTATCATTACCACAAAAGAAATAAATGTTTAAACTATGCCACTGCAATGATGATTCATTAATTACACTTTATATTGGATCTCATATTTAGATTCCTGGGGTTTTGGGGTTTTGGGGTTTTGGGGTTTTGGGGTTTTGGGG